GGTGACTGCCAGCCTCACACAGTAGCAGTAGGCAAGCTGTTCCCGTGCACCACGAAGTACTTTCCTGCTGTTGGACGACGAGCCCAGAGCCCGGAACATAAATGCTTTCTGAAAAGTTCTGCCTAGTTGTCTCCAGCTTCCTGCCATTCAGACTTGCTGGGGTGGGGGTAAGCCTGGGCGCTCACGTGTTGTCTTTAACATTAAAAAAAAGTCTCGAATTTGGTCTCCCAATTATGCCCTAAAGCAGATTTTTCCACAGTCTGTAAAACTGAGGTCCCGAAGAGACTGAGACTATCTGCTGCGGTAATGAGTAGCTTGTGTGATTTATCTTGATAACCGCTGCTCCCCAGAGTCTTGCCCTGTCTCTTCCTGTGGGTTTCTCCCATTGCGGTCTCGAGAGATCTTGTTCCACTGAACAGCTGTTACGGCCTTTCCTCCCTCTTTGGAAGTGCCCCTTTATCTCTCTGGGCTGCGGCCATATGTGTCACATGCTCCCTTCCAGCTTCTTTCTTTCCTTTTCCTTTTCCTTTCCTTTTCCTTTCCTTTTCTCTTTCCTTTTCCTTTTCTCTTTCCTTTTCCTTTTCCTTTTCTCTTTCCTGTCCTTTCCTCTTTCCTGTCCTGTCCTGTCCTGTCCTGTCCTGTCCTGTCCTGTTTGTCTTCTGCTCTAATATTCTCCTGTTCTTATAGGATGGCAATGCTGCCTGACATAAAGGGGAGTGTGGGGCGGACCTATGAAGTTAATGGTGTAAAAAGCAAACACTGTCATAATCATGGCACACTTCTATCTCTTGCAGCAGAGGCTGTTGCTTTCCCCCACTCTAAACTGGGGGGGGGAAAGAAGGGGGATGGGAGACAGGGAGCTAAAGGGAATCTGTAAGTATCTGAAGATTGGGTAGTTAAAACGAAGCAGATAAGAATCAGTCAACTGATAGACTCCTAGTCAGGAAGGATACTCGGTTTGCAAGGATACTCGGTTTCCCAGGTGGGCCGAGTTCAGGCAGCCCCATCAGGGGCCGGGCTGAGCTATGACACGCAGAAGAATCTATCCGAGTAATGTGGCCTTAATGTCTCTCCCTTTGTGACGTGTCTTGGACTCCTTGCTGGTTCCTGCCCTACATTCTGCAGAGAGATTACACCTCCCTGGCGCCTGCTGCAGCCCTACTGGGGAGGTGAATGTGAGTGGGCACAGCTTGGGTGCTCCCTGCCACCCATCTTATGACACAAAATGTAGCTTAAGCCAGGCTGGGGCAAACCAGAAAGGAGAAATTCTCTGTAATGACTAATGCATAAGCTACTCCCTGGCCCCTCTTGCAGCTAAGGCATAACGATTTTGATTTGGGTGCTAAGCTTATCACTGAATCTTCCTTGCACGCCACAACCCACCTCCTTAATCTCCTTGTAAATCCATTGTAGGGCAGCACCTTAGTGAAGAGTTCGGGAAGGTTAATGTTCTGAAGAAAGTGCCAGCGTTAAAGGATGGGACCTTTACCTTAGCAGAGAGGTAAGTGCTAAATCAGCGCAGTCCCATTGTGTGCTGTCTCGCCTCACCACACTTTCCAGCAGCCTGTTCTACCCCCTGCTCTGA